AGGATGAACATAATACTTTTAGAGAGCTCAGTGCATGGCTCTCTAATGCCAATTTGTCCTAAGACTTTTGAGCCGAAGCAGTCAATACATATTGCTATTTGATAAATAGATCTCATTCTGTAACGATTGATTTTAAAACTACAAAAGAGGTATGTTCCAGTGTCCATGCTCATTACTCTCATTTAAGAGTATTTGGTTGCTCTGCTTATTTTCATGTTAATGATGGTAAGCTTGAACCTAGAGTAAAGAAAGCAATATTCTAGAATATGCTATTGGGATAAAGGGATATAGGTTGTGGTATTCTGATCTCAACCTAAGTTTGTTATTAGTAGGGATGCTATTTTTGATGAGAAATTTATGTTTCACCCAAGAAAAGAGTTTGTTATTGATACCAAAAATACTAAAAATGAGTCTAGTAAGCAGGTGGAGCTAAAGAACTCCGCTTCAAAGGGAATACTTGAGAGCCATTATATTGAACCAGTTGATAGTGCAAAAGGTTTAACTTCAAATACTGATACACCCAAGAACAACAGTAAAATATTACCATCGGGAAAACAAGACCTCCTTAATATTATGCAGACATGCTTGCTTATGCTTTGACTATAGTAGAATCAATTGAGATTTCAGAGCTTTCTACCTTTAAGGAGGCTATTAGTAGCAATGAGGCTGCAGATTGGACTGTTATGATGACTGAAGAGATGGAGTCTCTTTATAAGAACCAGACATAGGAGTTAGTGAAGGCACCAAGGAGACAGAAAATCGTTGGTCGCAAATGGGTCTGCAAGAAGAAATAAGGAACTCAATCGTTGGTCGCAAATGGGTCTGCAAGAAGAAATAAGGAACTCCGGATATAGATTTTGTAAGATATAAGACATGCTTGGTAGCTAAATGCTACAGTTGTAAAATACACCTCAATCTACATGTTGCTTATCATGGTTACTCATTATAATTTGGAGCTTGAGCAATTTGATGTGAAAATAGCCTTTTTACATTATGAGCTTGAGGAGTAGATCTTTATGCATCAGCTAGAAGGGTTTATTGTTGAAGGTAAAGAAGATCATGTGTGCAGGTTAAAGAAATCTCTTTATGGGTTGAAACATTCTTCGAGATAATGGTATCTGAGATTTAATATTTTCATATTTGAGCATGTTACTCTAGGAGTATATATGATAGTTGTGTTTATCATAAAAAATTCAATGATGGTTCTTTTATATATTTGCTTTTGTATGTTAACGATATGTTGATTGCAGCTAAATAAATATCAAAAATCAATGAGTTGATATCTCAACTCAAGCTTGAGTTTGAGATGAAAGACTTGGGGCAGCGAAGAAGATTTTGGGGATAGAGATTCACAGAAACAGACGATATTTTTATCTTAGGATACATCAACAAAGTTTTGGAGAGATTTAGCATGTTTGATGTCAAGCCTGTGAACACTCCGCTTGTTGCTCATTTTCGTCTTTCAGCAGATTTGTCATCTCAGACTAAAGAGTAGGAGCAGTATATGTCTTGTGTTTCTTAGGTCAGTACAGTAGGAAGTATTATGTACACTATGGTCTGCACCTATCTAAATATTTCACATACAGACAATGTTAGTCGATATATGGATAAGCCTGAAAAATGTCCATTGGCAGGTTGTAAAATAGATACTTAGATATTTAAGAAGATCTGCTAATATTGCTTTATATTTTGGCAAGAACACAAATTTAGATTGCAGAATACTTGGCTATTCTGATTCAGATTATACGAGCGATTTGGGTAAAAGACAATCACTTACATGTTATGTATTCACTCTTTCAGGTAGTGTCATTAGTTAGAAGGTGACTCTACAGTTGACGGTTACTTTGTCTACCACAGAGGCAGAGTATATGGCAATGAAAGAAACCATTTGGTTGAGAGGTTTGGTTAAAGATCTCGGCTTACACTAAGGTGTTACTACAGTGTTTTGTTGTAGTGAGAGTGACATTCATTCGACAAAGCATCAGATGTATCATGAAATAACTAAACACTAGATGTCAGACATCATTTTATTAGAGAAATTAAAGTCATTAAGAGTAAAAAATTTGATATTGCAGATAATCCAGCTATATGATGACGAAGCTCGTATTTTCTCGCAAGTTTGAGCATTGCTTAGAATTCAACAAAATAGAGGTTAAGCCCGTAAGGAACTTCTAGCAAGACAGCAAGAGTGAATAGAAGAATTATCATATTCAAGGTAAGGTGGAAATTTGTGAGAGTGACTTGAATAAGATCAACAAATGCGGCCACCAATTCTAAAATTGTTGTACACTTGTACCACTGAAGTCAAACTTTATGACTCACAATTCTCTTAGCCTAGTGCACCTATTGATAATCTTAGCCCCTCTATTCCATCTATCATGTTCTCTCTTTCAAATAAGAAATGTAGTTGTGAAGGATGAGGAAAGAGCATCGGGACATAGAAAAAGAAAGAGGGGAGTTCAAGAGAAGAGAGAGACAAAGAGAGTTATTTTCTTTCTTTGTATGATTCTCTGATGGGTTAAAGAGTGATCTTCTTTGTAATCTTCTATTTTGTGATTAGTGAATTTTTCTGTTGTTCTCGCCTGTGGACGTACGTGATACTGATCGAACCACGTTAAATTCTTATTTGTTGTTTTCTATCTCACTGTGTTGACATAGTACCGTGCTATTATCCATTGTGTATAGACATTCTGTGTTTGTGTAGCCCCATTGTAACAAGTTTGGTAGGGTAAGATAATTAGGGCTTGTATCTTGAAAGTGGCATAAGAGTAGAAGAATAGGGAGTCAATTCATAAGAGGAAATAGTGGTTTAGAATATTAAAAAAAGATAGAAAAACTTGTTATGCGATACTATGCACTAGGGAATATTTTTCAAGTCATTTCAAGACTAAAGTTTCTAGAATGTAAATGTGAAGAGCCTGATGGATCATTGAGGATCAACAGTTCAAGCTTAGACATAGTAACATTGAGGATCAACACTAAGGTTAGAAATAGGAACACGACCAAGGTATTAGTTGACCTTTAGCAGAAGCATCTTTGACGAAGGACAAGACATCTATGGATGGCGAATGCAATATCGATCAATCAAACACATGGATGAATGTAATCCTCGAACGAGGATATTGAATGGATGAGGTCGAATGTGCTTGTTGGATGTGTTTTCTTACACGGTGATTGTGAAGCTGTCGGCAAATGTGAATTTTTTCAAGCAACATTTGAGGGTTTGGAAGGAGAAAAGGATTTTGACTGGACCCTGATCACAGTTTTCCTCGTGAGCACGAACACCAATATGACCTTCGCCTCTGTTGACAATCATCCTGGTGATTAGACCGAATATTTAGTTGGAAATATATCTGGAGTTGACAACCTAGAGTAAATTTATGATTAGAAAGATAGTTACTTGACAAAGTCAACGAGTTGTTGAAAAATCAAACATTAAAATGGTGATCAATTTTTTGCCAGCATTTCTAACATGCTGAAAGTTGGTAGTTTTTTGTAAATATATAGTAACTTGGTCAGTTTTTATGATTAATTTTTAAATGTCTTTTTTTAAAATTTCCATACATGATTTTCCAAAAGCGAAGAAAATATAACTTTTGTAGAGAGATGAAAACAAAGAATTAACAACCATTCAACTAGCAAGTACAATATAAAAATGATGAGAGCGGGATTCAAATCTTGTTTCTTTTCAGCCAATGATTTTATCTAGAACCTTAAACTAGCTCACAACCTTTGGGATAATTTGTGTATGTAAAATATATGCCAAAAGAAGGGCCCAGAGTATAGCAATTTCCGCAGATAGTCTGAAATTTTAGAAACGCACTGTACTTTTTTCATCAATCAAATAACTTCTCCATATAGCAAAGTAATAATAAGTCTATTTCTTTGAAGTTGACATTTGACGCCTTTCCATCAATTCAAGTTAATACACAATGTAAGATAGCTAAGCTAAATTTTTTCCTTAAGCTAACAGGTTCTATATCTATTTCTAATCAGACCAAAACTCTATATTTTGATACCGTTCTTCTTTTGTTCAAACTCTAATTCAAATCTTAACCCATGCCAAAACCCTTAGGTGCCGTGTGGCAAAGGGTTAGGCGAGGGGTTAAGAAGATTTAACCCCTTCTTAACACGCCAAACACAGAAAATCTACAGAAGGGTTAAAGCGAGCTAACTCTCTATTAACTTGCCATACGCAAAAAATATAGAAGGGTTAAGCTAAACCCTCTAGAGGGATTAAAATGAGTTAACCCTTCAAAATGAGAGGTTTACTAATACTTCTATTTAGAAAGATTAAGAGTTAACCCCTCTAATTATAAAGAAAATAGTCAAAATCCTTGTTATTCCCAAACGCTAAAAATGATCACAATGGCTAAAATAAAACTTACATAATAGGTTAATAATTTAGTCCTTCGGATTATCGAATGAGCTAACTATATTAATCATTCTCTTTAATCCCTCGAGCTTAATCATTTGCCAAACGGGGCCTTGAAGAGTTTATTTAATCACAATTCAAAGGACAAAATGCAGAGGAGGTCATCTAGAACAGTCTCTAAAATAAATTTATAGCTAGAGCAAGCCCAAATCTATAAGATGTGATGAACATAAAAGTAGAGGAAGTTAGAAATATGACAGGCCTTGTTTTTTAATGGCAGAAGGCCTAAACTGGTTCTTACACAGATCAACTATACATGAGGAGATTTTAGGGAAGAAAATCTCCTTAAATCTGAACGCCTACCATCCACTAAGGTTGCTTGGCAATATGTAAAATGAAAGAGCTATCTACCAAGGTTTTACAATATTGGAAACTGTACTAGAACCAAGGGGCAGGATGAGCTAAATCAGTTACGACAAATTAGCTGACTAGTTGATCCTTGTCACTTGTATAGTAATATACCGCCGTTAGCAATCCTGTTACTAGATACAAAATCAAATGACAATTTCAAATTTGACATTTTCTCCTGTTTTCCCTAACTAATACTTCAATCTGTTGTCTAAAGGTTCAAGGAGCTCAAGGGTTGTCCGTGCCCTGAGCAAAGCCCATCTCCAGGATGGTTATGTATCATATCCCTGGGAAAAGAAGATGAAGGAATCACTTCCTATACCAAACTCAAGCAGCTTCCTCTCGATGCTTATCCTTCCTATGGCATCCGATCCTTCTTCCTATAGCTATAACTCCCTTGAAGACACCTTGGCCAGGGCAAACTCTTGGCTCATTTCAGCCCAGGCCTCTGGAGTTCCCATTATGTTCATGAATGTCCAGACTGAGGCACTTCTATCCAAGGTAAATCTACATGATGATTTCAAGCAGACGTGATTGAGTTTCTTAAGTGTATGGATCTTTCTCTTCTGATGTTCTCCAAAAGGCAATGTAGGGGAGATTATACACCCAGCTCATGCAACTGCAAGAGGATGTGCCTCAGTAACAATACTACCCATTTCTTTAGGGTATTAATCTGCTGAAGAGCTTATCAAAAGGCTTCTGCAGAGGACAATTGCTTGTAGATCCAGATAGTATAGTTTATCCGAGAGTTAACACTTACTACAGACACTTGGTTCAAAATTTCTCTTTCACTTGCAGAAGAAACAAATTGCCTGACAGAATGCAAATAACTCCACTTTAAGCCTGTAGTTTATGAAAAAAGCCCCTAGGAGTCGATAGATGTGTTTCATGAAATACAAGATTTCTTAGGTTTAATTCCTGTGGTACACCTAAACTTAATTTAAGAAATGATTGGCAAAAAGTGCAAAACTTATACGAAAAAATAGAAAACTGATTTAATTACTTGGGAACCATACTTTGATGAAAAACCTAAAAGGCCTATGCATATAGCTTGTTGGTAGATAGATAATTCTCAGGTGGGATGGCTAGTTTGACAGATCATTATGTTCAGAGCATGATTAAAATGAAAATCTAAAATGTAAAGCAAATTAGGATCTTCTCAAATAGTCTGTCCTGTTGTGCCCGGTAGGTCTGAACTAATGAGCAATTAGGTTTTTTTTATTTTTTTTTTTATTTTTTGCAATGATTGTTAAACTGAACATAATAATTGCAATAGATATCTGGAGAGACGGCTACATCGACAGTGTACACAGGATCACTATCTGACCTTTCAAATCTTGCAAATGCAAGCCTTTATGGCTTTGAAGACTACCATGGAGTGGACATAGGAGTAGTGAGAGGAGTTCGGCTTTGGTACACTCCTGCTGCTGGAGAACTAGCCATAGAAATTAAACTGCAGGAAGGTGACAACAAGCTGGGCTTCGCCGTTAGCCGCACTGAGGAGGTATTTGTACTAGATTTTGATATCAGAAATATATTTATTAACATTATCTTTTTATGTTTACTGCTATGCATGTCCCGGGTCATGTTTTTTTCCTGCACATTTATTCCCGGTCCTTCAATTACAGTTGATCGTATATGCTTCAAAACCTCAAAACTTTTTTTAGTCTTTGATTATACCTATAAACCAAGAAAGATTGAATATAATACACATGTCAAATGGCAATTAGAGAACAGTCTCCATAAATTTTAAAGTTTCATGTCAACTTTAGGTCCCATTTCTCAATCATCTAGGAATCGGTCTCTAATACTTTGATCTAAGAGAATATTTTCTCGTACTTTGGTCTATTATCTCTTTGATGTTTTGTAAGTTATTAAGGCTAGAACATAAATGATTATTGAGAAAAAACCACATTCAACCATTTTATTCTTACAGACAGAAATTACCTCTTGTATGTGTTATCTTTTTTCTTTTTCATCTTAGAAATAAGAGGGGAAGCCAATTAGTTCTCTTCAAGCTCCTAGATGATTTAGTTATTCTTGTAGTAGTTACAGTTTAAGATACTAAAATATTTGTTAGAACAGAGTTAGTACAATATCTCTTGTTTGAGTAATAACAAACTCATTTGTTATTGATGATTGTTTAAGATGATATATTACAGGTATAAACAGGTAAAGATACAACGCGAAAAGATGCAAAAATTAATATTTATGTTGATTTTCGCCATCATATCATCGATGATCATTGACACACCTTCAATAATTATGAACAATCGATGGACTATAGTACACAATCGAAGAATTTCAGAAACTAGGTTTGACACCATCGATAGTCGTCAGGGAATCATCGATGGTTAACACCACAATTAATGTTGTACACTGAACAATTGATAAATCCTAGAAACTAGTTTTTCAACCATTGATTCTTTATAGGGAACCATTAATGGGACATCAATGGACCATCGATGGTCCATCGATGGTCAGGATTGACCATCGACGGTGATGATGCTTTTTGGTAGATTTTGTGATTTAATCTCAAGTGTTTGTTAATCCTTTTCATCTCCAACTTCTACTATGATTTCAATATCTCTTTTCTTATTTATCAAAGGCTATATAAGATAGAAAGAGATCATATTTTGGAGAGGTTCTATGTATTGAGAAAAGGAGAGCTTTTGAGACACTTTATTCTAGGGTTTGTGAAAAAGATTTGATTTTGTGATCCTCGTAAGCCTCATCAAACTCTTTATGGTCGCGCTCAGCATCTTCTGATCGTATCAGCAAGGAGAATTTTCCTTGGATTCGATATCATCACCGTTTTTTCATCAAGCTTTGCTTCAATCCTTTAAAGAATGGTTTGCTTAGAAAAAGGAATGTATATTTCAATTTGTGCTTAAATTGTTTTGGTAGTTTGTGCTTCATCTTATTTTATGGCTCACTCAAGCCGGCAATAATTGAGGGTTAGGGCTCGCTAGGGCTAGGTGTTACTCATCTATGAGGAGTTAGGTTAGACGACTAGTTTCGAATAGATTTTAGGGTGAGGTTTTTGTAAGCCTACTGAATCGAGTTGTGATTCATGTGAGCTCTAGTCATAGTGAAGAAGTTGATGTAGGATTGTTTTTCGAACCACTATAATAATCTCGCGTGTTCTTTGATTTTTAGTTTGGTTGTTCGCTTTTATTTTTCTATTTTTCCGCTACATATTCTGTAATTTAGTGAAAAAATATAGTAAACCTATTCACCATCTCTCTAGACTTGCATCTAGATACAACAACTGGTATCAGAGTTTCACTACCCATCTTTAGGATTCACAACCTAAGTAGAGATGTCAAGTTTAACCACTCCAACGGCTTTTTCTGAGAGACATGCTGTGAACCACCCTATTTTTTGATGGGTCAAACTACACCTATTGGCAAGCATGTATGAAAGCCTTTTTATTGTCCATCGATTTTGATCTATGGATTTGTATAGAAATCAGCTATAGTGAACCCATTGTTAGCTATGTTGTGAGGAAAAGGCAATTTGCCTTCAAACAATAGTCCCACATGGGCTAAGTTAGTGTATGGGGGGTTGTTTAAATTGGCTCTCTTCCCTTTACCCCTTGAGGGTCCCCAAGGAGGAGCTGTTTTGGGCTTTCAATTTGTTTGGGCTTTGCATATCACCTTGATATTGACCAAAATAATGTTTTCTCCGCGGTGTTATGAAATTCATGCAGCATATAAGAATGATAGTTTAATCATATCTATACATCATGCAAAAAGTTTTTTTTCTCTTGTGTACAGGGCTTCATCTACATATCTTCTGTGATTGATGAAGATGATCGAGGAGCAGCTTCAATTCGATCAGGGCTCAGATATCTATACAAAGAAGCAGAAAGGGCATCAAAACTATTGGTGATCTCAAGGGTATCAAATGAGAAGGTTCTCCCCTGGATGGTATCATCTTCTGGAGCCATTCGCTGCTATGACACAGTTTCACTTAGTCATAAGCTCTCGCTTCACCGCCACGCACTGCAACCAATTCTGATCCATGTGCTCATGTGGGAGAAACCATTGGCATCTCTCAGCAGGGGGATTGAACAATCTACAGATGCTCCACGACCTTTGCCTCTACCACAACCGCCAATTCAGCTTTCTCAGAATTTAGCACGTGATGATGCATCTGAGGCAGCGCTGCATAGGGATACAGCTGGTGACATCTCCTTTAGATTTCATGATTTCTCATTTCCAAACAGCTGGGTCTGACTTTTAGGGCAGGTTGCGAGATTCCACGCTTCTCTGTATATATGTAGTTATGGTTCCCTGTAGTAGGCTTACTGCCACTTCGTCTCAGCTCGTGTGTAATATGGAGATGCTTGTTATAGTAATGCTTTTGTAACACTCGAGGTTATGGATGTGCCAATATCATATCTTTAAGTAGACTAAGATCTAATTGTGTCTAGAGCGTGCAGGATTGTGTGCTGACTGTTGTAACAATATAGAGAATATAATAAAGGTTTAAGGAGATAGATTCTGGTTTGGCCGGTGAAATTCGTGGCTTCATGCCTTTTAAGTCATTTGGAAAGAAGTGAATGCTTTCAGGGCTTTCCAAATTTTGAATAATGTGCAGTTATTGTATTAGAGTGACCTATTTTATGTGTGATTGTAAGAGATTGAAATCGTATGGGCTGTATGAATCATACGAGCTGCTAAATATATGATTGAAGATCTCATAGCATGGGGTGTGTGTGTGTGTGTGTACAGGTAGAATGATGTTCTGAAATTTGCTGTTTTGTTTCAGCTGAGGGTACTACAAGTTTGGTTTCGAGGTGTAAGATGATGCAGAATTTATGAATTCATAGAGATATTGTAGTTTTCTAGTCTTACCAATGTCAGAACTTCATGCCCAAGGACATACAGCTCACCAGGAGGATCAGGAAGAGAGGGCTTAATCTTGGATTTGTTTTATCAGTTTGATGGTTGTCTCATTATTTGGTGTTCTAGCTAGCGTTATTTAGCTTCCTTGTCAGAAATGTAGGCTATCACTTCTTAAATCTCTGCAAAGATTGCTGTATAATCTGGAATAAAGTTTGCTCTATAATCTGGAATGTGTTGCACATCGTCTGAGCTAGGAACGTATTAAGATTGGTGAACACCTGGAATTGCGTAGAATTGGTCGCTTATGTTGAGAGTTTTATCGGATATTTTATTAGGAGCGAAAAAGCTAATTCTCCTGCTCATGTACGCAATAGCACTTCTTAGAACTGATGCCTGAGAGGTCTATTTTTGGAGCTCGTTTGAAATTATATAATTGACTGCACTGTGGTTATCTGACAGATTTCCGTTTAACGAGCTTCCCCTAGAATTACCTGACAGTACAAACCTCCAAAGAATCCTCTATGACCTGTTTGGCTGAATGAATACAAAACCTGAACCTAAGAAGCAAAATAACACAAAAGTGATCATTATCTCGGTTTTTTTGGGGGGAAATATATATTGCTTATTTTGGTGGAAAATGCTTAGAAAAGTTTTTTAAACCATAGAAGATAACTGAAATCTCCAAACTATCCATCTATCCTTCCCGTGAATGACTCGGAACATCATGCTGCTCTTATGTAAGGTGTTGTGATAAAATTTATGCCCCACCGTCGTCCTCTCCTACACACCCCTTTCTCTTTCCTAGCCAAATACATTATTTTGGTACATTACTTTTATAGGATGTTTATGAGATGGAGACCAATTTCCATCATTTTTCCATCATCCATATTCCTTGCAAACCAACATCAGATATTAGAAATCCTTTCAAGTAGTAATGTTGAGCAAAACAAGGAAGCCACAAATTTGTCGAAACTTTTTCTGTAGATATCAGATCCAGCAAAACTAGGCTAACTTGCATAAAAATGAACCTTCATTCAGGGTATGATGACGTCAGCAATTGATGGGATGAGTAACACAAGTAAGACAAATTCCCAATTGATACAACACAAAATTTGTTCGAAGCAGCGTCTTGGCTTTCATTGGAAATGCTTATATATGGTAGTAATGTGAACTGGGCTTCTGGAATTAAATGTAATTTAATACTTTCACGCTTTATAGATCTTTAAAGTGCTCACATTTATTTTTAGTTACTTGTCAGGATAGTCAAAAATCCAAGTTTAGCCAGAGGATAATTCCCAATGTGGCATAAATTTTGATTTTCAACTCAGGTTCACTGGATTCACTTTCATTGTTTCTCCCTTGAGTGAAAAATATGTGCGCGTAATCAAAAGGATGTCCTATAGTTTCAAGTCTGAATTCTCTAAGAAGGAACAGAGAGAGCAAATGGGTCATTTGCCCTCCCCATTGTAAGGCTTAGAACCACCCGCTCGTATGTGCACGGTTCTGAGCGGATTCCCATTGTTGATTTCACTCGATTAAAGTTGATGCAGGGAGCTGTCCCCTATCTAAAACATAAACTTGCCTCAGAATATAGTCTTGATATATCTCATTAAGCTGGACGAAGTAACATTTCACCAAAAGATCAGAACTCTAAACAAGTTTGTCAGTCCACCGCAGTGTTGACCAACATCCACGCTAGAGAGAGCAATGTTACATTAAACGCTGGGCGCTTCTAGGCGTCGGACTTAGCGCCCAGCGTTTAGTCGCCTAGGCGGGCGCCTAAGCGGTTTCTGGACGTTTTTTTTCTTTCTTCATTTAAGTGGTGATCGATGAGGTTTTGCTGAAGGTCGGAGGAGGTAGTGGAGATGTTCATATTTAGAGGTTAATGGAGTTTAGAGGACGTGTAGGCTATGATACATAAAATCACAATTAAGGCCTACAGGGTGCAATCCACATAAGCAGACAATACTTCCCTAAACGCTCGTAAAATCTAGATGGGCAGCCTAAATACCGCCTAGGCGCTAGGCGCTAGTTAGGCAGCCTAGGTACCGTCTAGGTCTAGGCGTACGCCTAAGCGGACTAGACGGAGGTTTTTTAAAACAGTGAGAGAGAGTAACTCAATCTGTCCCTATTAGGTAAAACAAGGACCTTAATGTCCTAGGACAATACCAATTTTAACAATGGTAACAATATATTAAAAAAAAGTAAGATATTCCAAGCAACCTACAAAGTTACAGCTAAAACAAGATCAATTCAAAAAGGTGGAAGTAGATCAGTCCTCCAATGCTATGCGCCTGTAAACAGCTTTAAAAGTCTGCCCTCCATTTCTCGCAACTTTTTGCCCTTCTTCAGTAGCAGAAGTCAGGAGCTTCACAACTGGATCCAAATCCAGTTCTTCTTCTGGCACTGCTGTAAACAAGGGATGATCCTCCATGCAAGATCTCATCCAAACACCGAGCTCTTCAACATCAGTTATTGTGTAAATAATCCCACCAACTTCCAGAGCATATGCATACTCATCGAGCAGCTGTATGCTGATAACCCTACGCCTATGATTCTTCTCCTTGAAATGGGGATCGGGAAACAGAAAGAACATTTTCGAAAGCTGCGCTTTGCCAAAGTAATTAGGTAGGTATTTCATAGAATTCGTACGGACAACTGAGATGTTTTCATATTGGCCTGGGTTAGTAGCTCTTAAGGCCAATATCCTCTCCTTGACATACTCTGTTACCTGTGGAGGAATCTCGATGAGATATAGATATAAAGGAAGAATGAAAACAATCCCGTAAAAATCAAAATGTCAATAGATGTTTACCTTGTCCCTTAACTCCATTCCGATCATTAGTGTATCTGGGAAAAGAGTTGAGAGACTGATGAGTAAACCCCCAAAACCACAGCCGATATCAGCAAACCTGATCTTGGGAAGTAGTTCACTGTTCTTGTTCTCATCTTCTCCTCCACTTGGGAAAAAGTGAGGAAAATGTTGAGAATAGTCGACATCTGAGGGGCTGATTGGAATTGGGAAGTGAGAGTCGCTTAGGGGATTGCTGTGAGCTCTTGCTCTGTAGAAGCGCTTCCTTGGAAGGCGAGTGCATTGCCCATTTCCTTTTATCTTGTTACTGTTCTCTGATATCGGATCCATGTTGCAATCAGTGCCGGTAATAGTTACTTGTAGACCGCAGAATTCAGCTCAACTTTCGTGTGCATGGAATCACCCTTCCGGATTGGGAAAGAGATAAATAGAGCTCGGATGGCCTGCCAAAAGAAAGGCTGTTAGTTTTAGACAAATAAGCAATTCCTTTTTGTCATGATTAGTCCATGTTAAATAGTAGGAGCAAGCAACAAAACCTCCAATATATAACAAGGTACAAGGAAATTACTGCCAATGCCTGGAGATAAAGAAAGAGGCAGCGAACAAATTTCAAATACTACGAAGCTTTTTTTTAGTCTAGTTCCTGACTGTGAAGCAAGCTGCAAAATTCTAAAAGATCTAGATTAGCAAAGCGGAATTATGATGCAGACGAACAAGGTTTGAAGAGAGAGTCTCCTAGCAAAAAATTCTAAAAGATCTAGATTAGCAAAGCGGAATTATGATGCAGATGAACAAGGTTTGAAGAGAAAGTCCCCTATCCAATTCTTCTAGTAGCCATGAATACACCGGATCGATAATTGCCTCAGAATGCACCAGAAGACTTAACACTTTAGTGTACGCTTAAAATCTACAATTGCTCCATGTATTAATAGAAAATTGGAGGCTTCTCTAGAAAAATATGAAACTGAATTTTGGAAAATATAAGTTTCTCAAAAATCAAGAGTACCAAATTGAGCATTCCATAACTCAAACAGATGAAAGTATATACCTTAAAAACAAGAATATAGTGGTCATATAAATGTCAATAGATTTCTGCTGAAAGCTGATTTGAACAGATATGAGGGAAACTCCAAATAGCCACAAGGACTTCAATAGTTAATGGAAATGAAACAGAAAAAGGAAATGGTTTCTCTTATTTTACTATTGAAAGTAAATGGGAAATTTACTGATGGCATGACTCATCTCGAGATCAATAGAAAATACAATTTAATGTTCTCCATGAGCAACGTTCGAGAGATAATATTGATATCTGTCTTGAGAAAATTTCATCTCTATCCCAGTTTCTAATTCATATATCATGTTCTTCTTGCTCACCATTTTAATTTTTTGCACATGCTTAGAGCATTTCTGCTGCAGTTAACAACTATAATATTACAACAAGAAATTTTGGTTCAAAACAGAAAACCTAAGCATATTACAACTATATATCAACCAATACACCCTTTGGTTGCCTTCTGTTGGAACTTAATCTTCTGTTTCAGCACCAAAGACAAAGAATGCGTCAAAACAAGGGAACAATCAGCAAAAGGCACATCAGCCAGTTGATAGATGGTGCCTCAAGTTCTGTCTGGTTGATAATAGCAGTCTTAGATGGTGCTGACAGTGTCGAATATGCTTTGGAATTTCAGAACACCACCTTAGGCAGTGTGACAGGTGCCTAGCATGTGATCGTGTATTTTAGGAAAGCAGATTGGAATAGGGTTCCTGTTTTGTTTTGTACTCGGGTTTAAACCAAGTTATTTATAGTGGATAGCGTCGCGTAGCGATGAGGCACCGCTAAGGCTATTTGCGCCCATAGTGGCAAAATAGCAACAAATAGCGCATAGTCAAATAGCGGTCCAATTTAAATATATTAAATATGCTAAAAATAAGAAAAATCAATGTAAGGACAGGCCTTCATCGAGGGCAGGGCTTCATCGAGGAGATGGAGCAGAGGTAGTTGGAGGATCTAGAGAGGAGAAGAGATGGAGATGGAGCTCGTCAAGGAGACTGTTGTTGGCTGCAGCGTCGAGAAGAGAACATGGAGCTCGTCGAGGAGTTGGAGAATTTGGAAAGGAGGCGGAGTGGTGGAAGGAGGCAACGGAGCTGGAGCTCGTTGAACACGGAAGAGAAAGAGAGGTGGAGATCCGGTTAATGTTTTTTGAGAAAGAGGCGGATGCAACAAATACAGAAGAGAGAGAGAGAGAGAGAGAGAGAGTGGGTTTTATAAGTTGGGTCAGGTTCGGTTTTAATTCGGGTTGTGTTTTTTATAAAAATCAACCAAAAAAGCGCTAACAACGGTCATAAGCGTTTTTAAGCGCTATTTCGCGCTTTTCTCTGCTATTTCGAATGAATAGCGATCTTCAGTGTTTTTACTCACTGCTATGGCCAAAATCGTCACGGGCAAAGGCCGATAACAGAAGGTACTAGACGGACTAGGCGCTTGAGCCAGTGCCTAGCATCTGGACAGCACCTAAGCGTTTGACTATTTTTTAAATTATTTAATTATAATAATTAATAAAAATATGTATTAAATTCATATAAGTTTGCAAAAAGATAGATGGCAATCTTAGATCCATAACAAAACCATGCATACTTAAATACTAAATAGTCAAAATAATAACTAACAAGATTATAGAAAGCGCTAAGAGGCCTAAGCATTGGACAAGACGATTAGAGTCTAGGAGGTTTTATTTTTTTATTTTTTAATTAAAATAATTGATAGTAAATATCATTGTTATAAAAAACCTAGGTGTCGGACTGGTGTCTACGCGGATTTCTTTCTTTATTTAAGTGGTGGTCGAAGAGGTTTTGGTGAAGGTCAGAGGAGGTAGCGGATGTGTTTATATTTAGAGGTTAAAGGAGTTTAAAAGAGGTTGTAGGACATGGAGGCTACAACACAGAAAATCACGATCAATGCCTAAAGGGTACAGTCCACATAAGTAGACAATACTCCCCTAAACACTCCCAAAATCTAGGCTGTCGCCTAGGCACTAAACGCTAGTTAGGTAGCTTAGGTACTACCTAGGCCTAGGCTTACGCCTATGCAAAGTAGGCAAAGGCTTTTTAAAACAATGTTATTTACAACACTGAGTTTAAACCTACAAATATAGATCTTCCACGTTTAGGGCTTGAGAGGAGAGTCAAAGAGAGCTACATCTAGTGAAAGAGTTGTACAGAAGAAACGAAGGAGAGAAATCTAGAATTTGTTAGGATCTTTAAGTGAGAGAGAGGGTTTCTTGCAAGTTCTTTGAGGAATGCAAGAAAATTTATATCTTTGTAATCTCTAGAGAAAAAATAAGACTCAAGTCTATCCTCATGAATGTTGGCAATTGTCAAACCATGCAAATCTCATGTCTTTGCGTCTTGTTTGCTTTTCTGAGGTATATTGCTTTCATGTTTTGTTAAAACATTGTTTCTCTCATTGTTTCTTTATTGCCAAGGTCATCAATTGCCTAGAAAAATAGAGATCTGATTGGGAGATCCACGAAAAGCTTATGTATCATGCGCTGATTCACAATAACTAGTACCAAAGCTAGTTGTGTCAACACTTATATCCTAAATCATGCATTGAAACCATTAAACTTCATTACTTATATATAAGAAACATAAACCTATTACATATGTTCTCAACAATTTATTGTACATTGAAACTAATTAGAAGGACAAAATTAGAAAGACCTAGAAGCATCCTAATTGTCATTGACTACTTGATAATTCCCCCTAACTCCCCATGTTTTCTAATAGTAAGATACTTTATATCACATTTGGCAATTATCTTTTAAAAATATATTCATATTAGTATTGATTATTAAGGTGTTAAACTTTCTTTACGCACAAATTTACAATGCACGCATCACGTGCACAGGAGAAATAGTAATTAATAAGTCCAAGATAGAAGACATTGAAGCCTTTTTCTGATAGTGAGGGAATTATTTTAAAATACTCCGGACCCACTTATTTTGTCCATGCTTGTTTTTCTATTCAACACGAACAATTTTGGGAGAGGGGCTAGTTAATCCCTAGAAAGGGGACTATTTCAAACCCACCCACCCCCCATCTATACAATCCAGGTACTAATCATCTACAAGAAATATTAAGATTTTTAACAAAAACGCCTCTATCTCTTTAATTTTCTTCAGACTTTCTATTGTTTCTATGTTTCCTTTCACACTTATTTTCCTCATTTTTTTCTCTTCGCTGCGTTATTTGTTGGAGGATTTTGTTTTTGGCATTTTTTTCTACAGGATTGTTCCGCCGCTTTATCTCTTTACTCGATTACACCTGTGCACATTGAACCTACTCTCTAACTTGTTTTTTTAAGGCATCCTCTAACTTGTTTTGAATGTATACTAATTTATTCCTACATTCTGCCTTGTTGTCACTCCTCCATCTCAATAGACACATCTATCATACAATATGGATGTCAAAACACAAATGGTTCGCTACATGAAGTTAGAATCATAGATTATGGTAAAAGAGTAGCTTTGAAGTCTTAAAAAAGTTTAGCAATCTATAGAAATAATTGACTACACCAATGAAAATTCAGCAAAATTTTATCATGAATCATAATTGATAATTGATGAACTCTAAACTAAGGCTAACAAGAAGCTTACATAAGCCATTGCCCTATATTATGAGGATTCTACCTAAACAACAAAGAATTTCGCAACTCATGCCTCTAATCATACAAATTCTCAAATTGAGAGTAGCATGCTTTGTCAAAAGCTCACACAAATCAAGCCAAAGTTGGTGCATTAATACAATATTATTTGAATTGAGGGTAAAAAGGTCTTTATGGTTATGATATTAGCCCGAAAGGTCATAATCTCCCAAAAAACAAATATTAATATGGACTATATTAAGTCGGTCTGAATTAGTCCGTGTGTAAAACAAACATGGAATTGGACTAACATCGTTGTTCTACAGTCAAGGGAATGCAATACCCCCCAGTCCAAGGATGAAAAACAAATGTGGCTTGAGAGTTCTACCTTTGTAATCACTTCCACATCCATCTGAATTGAACTAACACGAAACTCCGAACATACACTTGCAACATTTACCCTCGAGTTTGAGTTTATACAAAATATGTTCCTAGCTCATCACAGGACAACTACATCTCATTATTTAGCGACAACGGCAAGGAAAATATAAAGTGACCAGTGATTTCATGTTATTTCAATAATTTTATAATTTCATCTTAAGCTCTCCCTTGCAGATAGTAATAGTCAATTTCCATGTGGTTTGCCATCTCATTGAACACTGGATAATTAGCAATGTGAAAGACTACCTAGCTATGATTCTCAAGCCGATGGCCACCAGATGTATGTTCAGCCATATTAACTCAATAGTGGCACTTGCGACAGCTTGTTGTTTACATTTAGGACTTGACCTGGCATTATTCGTCCAGAATACCATCGCCAACACCAAAATGCCCATCTGGTTGATCTTCTAGTGTATGCGTATCCATCCTAGTCATGTCAGTACCTCGGATTGTTTTGATATAACAATCCTTATTCTGGTGCACCCTAGTAATGTTATAATATATGAACAAAAATATTAAAAAAATAAAAACACCTCATATGGGAACCATCAAAGTGACTTACCACACTCAAATGCAATGAAAAACTTAGTCTGGTACTTCTGTGATAAAACTCCCACAGCAAGTAGGAAAACCCAACAACTCCCATATATTGGCCAGCAGTTAGGTATCAGGAACTATAGTCTATCTTTAGGCTTGAACTCCAACATCCCAAGTCTGTCTATAGGCCTGAGCTCTAACATCCTAATTTCACTTGGATTCCAAAACCATATTTAGACATTTCAATTACCAAGAAAATATAAACCGGCCCCAATCCTCACTCTGAAATCTGAACATGAATTCCTCTACTTTCATCTCCTTTTATGACTATATCATCCTTATACTACTAGTATTATATTTCAGCTCGCATGTCATAAAAATCTGACTGAATTACTAACCAAAAACCTCCTCAGCTCAGTTTCCATCACAGCACTATCAAATTAAGTATGCAAAACCATGTTATAGAAAAATGTTTCAGCCCATATAAAGATTTTGAGATGGAATATCTTTTGAGATTACATGCAAACATCCTCCCCAAGATAACCACAAAAAAGTTTAGCCACATAGAACCTCTGTATATTCAAGGCTACAGAACTTATACACCCTTCGCTACAACATGAGCTTTTCATTTTGCAATGGAACGATCAACTTTAACTCTTATTGTGAATCGCCAATTACAGCTGACAACAAACTGTCAGGAGGAGAAGTGCACAAGACCTAATATTAAGTCAGTACAGTGCAAGCATCTCTAACATCCATGACGGCCTGCCATCAAGGATAAGATAAACCTATGGTAGACACTTAGTAAACAAATATAATCTAATGTTGTAATAAAGTGAGGTATGACAATGTGCTTATGGAAAACACCAAATAAAATTCGATGTGAGGAGCATGCTTGCTTAACTTGTAGAGTGCAACTGGAAGGTCAGAATCTAATAATGTGGTTGGATATTGTGACAGAGCTATTTCAGTTTTAGACCATAATTTTATTGGATATCGTGACAGAGTTATTACAGATATAAGACCATAATTTGATAACAATGATAGTGCTCATTTTTGCTTGTCTAAATATATGGGGATTTTGCCTAGATGAGGATCAGATCGAAGTGAAAAATCACTTTTCCTTTGCGACCAAGACCCAACATCCTAGTGAACAGGGGTGAAAAAGATAACTCGTTTTTATGTAGGCCAAACTAGGAAAGAGCAAAGAGAGAAGATGTGCTATTAATATTTTAACATAACTATAGCAACATGAACTATCCCATTTATTCAGATTTTTCTTAACCCAGATAGCATTAATACTTTAACGTTCTACATCATCATGAACTATCCCATTATTTTAGATTTTTCTTAACCCAGGATTTAAACTTTCGTCGATGACTTATAATATTTAGAGAGGAAATTACGATGTCATTAAACACTCATACGTTAATGTATGGTTGTGCACAACAAGATGCACAATTTGGATTATGCCCAGCAAAATCGAATTAAGCGAAATTGCATGGAATTAACTTTTTTAATATCAATATACAAAGAAATGTTGAGAACTCCTAAGCATATGGGAAAAATAGAAAATAATTTAAAACTTTTCAAAAGATCAAAAACCTAATGGCCTGTATTTATTCATGTAACAAGTCACAACTCAATGACCCATAAACAACATCAGATTTCAATAAAAAAAAAAGTAGTAAACAACAATCAATAATAAATCAACATAAATCATAACCTCTAACTCTTTGCATATGATGCAAACAGGTTATATGGAAAGAAGTAATTTTGTGAAACTATTCACTTGTTCAAAGACTCACAAGACAACAACAGCCTTCCTTTTACAACAGTAAGAAAGAAAATAAGGACAATTGAAAAATAAACAAATTTAAACGACATCGCCATAGACTGAGAGAGGGCTACTGAGATTTTGGGTTAAGTTAGAAACTAGTCCCTAAGGTTTTGTGTCATTGGTTTAACAGATCGATAAGGCTGGATTTAACTCAATCATAAGTTGGGTTAGAGAAAAAAGAAATCAATTTATTTGTTCTGCAATTATCTATATGAGAGCATAGATTGTATAAAAGTGATTCTGTTGTTTGTCCACATAATAGAAACATAACCTTATTTTTTTACATAGACATTTTCGGCATACTTTTATGTGGCGGCTTATGCAGTCTCATAAACATGGTTTTCCAACATAGGAAGCTATTTTCAAAGTGAGGCGTCCTCTCTCTCCTATGTGGTTAAAGCCACTTCCCTCCCTTAAACAAACACCTCAATCTAACCAAAAGTGTGTGTGTGACTACAAGTTCACTTTCACACTTTTACTCACACCTCAATATAACCAAACACCTCTTGTGAGATGATATGCTTGTGCCTACCCTATTTAAACTTTCAGTTTTGTTGGAATAGCTTATGGTTCAGACTCCAGATGCTGGTAGTAGAAAAAGGTAATAGGACACATAAGACAATTTGATTTAAAACTAGGAGATGTAAATAGGTAAATTAGGATACATTGGAAGAAAGATGACATCTGTGAATAAATGATGAAGAGGATTACACCATGGTACTCTTATGTGTATAACCTAGAAGTATGCATTTAACTGCAGCAAAACTCAACTAATCGTACCAGTCATGTTGAGGAGCAAAAAGAAACACATACAAATCCATGAAGCAGCGAAAATCTGGTCGACTCAGTCAGGTTCAGACCAACCTGCACAAGCTTAACCAGCACTTGACACCTATGATGCACGGATACGGATACGGGACACGGATACGACACGGACACGGATACGGGATACAACAAAATCCAAAAAAATAGGATACGGGGATACAAGAAGGATTTTTTTTTAAATTATTATTATATATAGAAAATTTTATAAAATTCAACTAACAATCTAAAATATGAATCTATCACAAAATAACAAGTTTGTAAACAAAAAATACCTCAAGATGAAGTGGAAACTAGTCCGATGACTTCTTCATCATCAGCAAATAATACGGCCTCCATGGTGGGTTCATCAAGAGACAAGATGGCGACATCAAGAATTCCAGCACCCTGAAATGAGTCGAATGCATCTCCACCAATATCCCACAGCTTCGATTCTCCTTGATATTCTTGGGATGACCGAGAAAGCAAACGAAGATTGCTATGCACATACACAAGATCTTCTGCTCTTATCGGTGTCATCTTGTTCCTCTTCAAAGAGTGAATGAATGAGTATGTACTCCAATTCCTTTCGCAGCAAGAGAATGAGCAGGGTTGGCCCAGAACTTTAAGGCCAATGCTTACAGATTTGGAGTTGAGGATCCATAGAGCACCCACCATAGTTTTGGATCCATCAATCCTCTATCAGCAAGAGCATCTGGATCACTAAAAGTGTCAAGAACGGTCGAGAATCTAGCATATTCCAAGTTAACTGTCCTCCGTTCATCGGCATTAGGATAATATCTCCTCAGACACTTGGACCTTTCCGAAGAGATCTCCTCATCCTGATAGGGTGTTTGTCGATGGATATTCTTATTGAGCCATGTCTCATGATAATATCTATTAAAGATTAACATTGAATTAGACATTATTAATAAAAATAATCACATCAAAAATAATGAATTGACAACATAATCTAAATTATTACCTTGGATTCAAAGAGTGCGCCAAGCACTGAAGTGACATGTTGCTCTTATTCCATCTATCCACCAAGATTTTGTGTACGACATCATAAAATGAGGAGGGGTCATTTTCTCTTTTGCCCTCATGTCTATAAATAACAACATTCACTTTCTCAATCATTGTATCCCACATATCATATACCAAATGAAGGTTGGACTTGTCAGTATCGGTGAGCCGAATCATATCATATATAGAAGCAGTGAAAGCAATAATATAATCCACCCTATCCCACCACAAATCATCAAGCACTTTCTCCTTAACAAACTGTGCTTTTCCCACATATCATCATCTCTGTACAAGCTCCAACGGTCGCTAAGAACCATATCTTGGAGGCTTCTCTTGATCATCGTGAACCTCTTTAGCATGATGATCCATGAAGCAAATCGGGTATCAGCAATTAAAAGAAGCTTCATCTTCGAATGCTCATTGAACATAGCCAGCCTCATTGAGTGATTCATGATAAAGTTCTTAATCATCAAAGCATCATCAGATACCTTTGTAATCCAGTTGCACTCTGCATAAGCGATTGCATTAGCCTCAGTATTCTTCGTAGGAAATCTTAAAGGCAAGATTAAGGGTGTGAATAACACATGGAGTCCAAAAGATGTGTGGAAATTTGCCCTCCACAACTGTCCCTGCGGCCTTGCATGTCGAAACGTTATCAGTAATGATTTGGATCACATTTTGAGGTCTCACCTCTCTAATGCAATCTTCAAACTTCTCTGTAATGAAATATCTATTCTTCTGCTCTCCCTCGACATTCACGTAGTGCAAGAACATTGGCACGTTTTCTGAGACCGCAATGAAATTTATCAGTAGCTTCCTTTGTACATCTGCCCAGTCATCACTGTAAATAGAGACTCCCTTCTGCTTCCATGAGCCCCTAATGGGCTCCAACCTCTCTACGTGAGCCTTCTCACGTTGCAAAAGAGTGGTCCTCAAAGAATTATAATCGGGAGGCTTGTAACCAACAATTGGATTGCTTGCGGCATATGTGAAAGCTCTGGAGAAATATGGATTTCTTGTCAAATTAAATGACAACCCACCGGTATAAAACATCCTTGCAATAATTGAATCTAATTCATCTCTTGCCCTTGTATTGAATGCCTCTTCAACGGTGGTGGCTCCCCTCCTCTTTGGCTCACTTGGACGAGAAGGCATGCTTTGACTTACTGATGCTGTACTTGAAGTTAAAGAACCTAGTAACGTTATTGTCCTAGGTATAGAAGCCATCGGCCTTGCTTCTGCTTGATCCATATCAATTTGCATGTCTCTCATATTATGCGGCTTAACACCTTTGCACATTTTAATTCATTGCCCATTAATCCGCATTAGATGGGTTTTGACCCTTGAGAAGGAGGATGTAAACACTTCATGGCAATAACTACACATCCACTGCCAATTCCTCCCTCCTTTACCCATCTTCTCCAACTTCGTGACATACTTCCACAAAGAAGTGTGATCATCTTGAACAGACTGTGCACCAGAACTATCTTCTGCTTCCATTGCTATAAATAAGTAACAAGTACTAATTAAATATTAAACCATAACATATATGGAACGTAATACGAAAATATTAAACCACCAAGTAACAAGTACTAATTAAATATTAAACCATAACATATATGGAACGTAATACGAAAATATTAAACCACAAATCACAATGCAAGAAATATGTATTTTCCCATAACATATATGGAACGTAATACGAAAATATTAAACCACAAATCACAATGCAAGAAATATGTATTTTCATTTAAAATATGAAATATGTTTTTTAAGTAACAATTAAGTGATTAACAATTAAATATTTACATGTTCATAATTTATTAGTTAGAATGCTAATTACTATTTTAAGCTCTTTTTTCTAATTATACTAATTAATAAGTTGTTGCTCACTGACTTTGTTAATTATACTAATTAATAAGTTGTTGCTCACTGACTTTGTTTTTCTTTTTACAGATTATACTTGAGAGTTAAGTAGCAACGAGCAAGGATGAAGCTCACTGACTTTGTTTTTCTTTTTACAGATTATACTTGAGAGTTAAGTAGCAACGAGCAAGGATGAAGGATCACTCAAATTTTCCAACACAGCTACCAAAATAAAAATCCATAATTCATTCATTAATTATGTATATTCATATTGTATTCATATTTTCTAATTAGAAAATCTTCATATTCTAATTAGAAAATCTCCATATGTATATTCATATTGTATTCCTATTTTCTAATTAGGATGCAGTTCTTGTTTTACTTGGTGTCATGACATATAAAAAAGAGAGAATAAATTCCAACTCTTAGTAATAGATCATATAACTAACACTATGAAGTAAACTTATGTGATAAATACAAAGGTGTGAACGTAATAAAATTATTGACTAACAAATAATCGGAATGGACCAAACTTCATCATCATTGCCATAACAAATTGAAATGTTAATATTCATAATTCATTTGTGTTAACTGTTAAGAAACTGAAATTGAAAAAAAATATTCATATGTTAACAAATTGAAACTGAAATTGAAACTGAAATTGAAAAAACAAAATACCAAATGAAGAATAGGATTAGAGCTCTCTAACTTTGTCAGCACGAATCTACATAAACAAAAAGAGACTGAAAGAGAGAGAGACTGAGAGAAAGACGGAGAGATTGAGAGAGAGAGACTGAAAGAGAGACGAAACTGTTAAGAGAGAGACGAAGAGATCGAGAGAGACGAAGGGAGAGAGGGACTGAAAGAGAGACGAAAAGACTGAGAAAGAGAGCCGAAGAAAGAGACGAAGAGATCGAGAGAGACTTAGAGAGAGAGAGAGAGACTCTGAGAGAGAGAGAGAGAGAAGAAGAAGAAGAAAACTCACCTTGACGAGGACGAGGACGAGATCGACGAGGAGTTCGACGAGGACGAGGATGAGATCGACGAGGCGATTCCGATTCTCTGACCCAACAGCGACGAAGACGAGGTGATTCCGATTTTGTGGCGGCGTCGAGACTCGGGTGAGTGAAAAAAATTAGAGTTTAGTTTGGGTTTGGGTTTGGGTTTCGGGTTTTGTCTTTCACATGTTTTTTTTTCTTTTTTGTTCGGCAAATCCGAGTCGTGTCCCGTGTAGGATTGACCGTGTCCAACAAAGTTTGACCGTTGACCCGTGTCGGACACGGATTGACCGTGTCTGACACGTGTCATGCGCAAATCCGTGTCTGATTCAAGTCGGATACGGATTTGTGGCCTCCGAGGACAAATCTGTGCTTCAAAGCTTGACATTACTAAATATTTGCTTAAGAGTCCTAATCTCATATCGGTACGTGAGATATGTGAATAACCCACATCCTACCAACACAACCCAATTATGAACAATTTGAGTTTGCTTCAGCTTGAAAATTAAGTTTAAAAAAAGTTACCTAGTTAGCAAAAGAATTGACTCATAGCTAAGAAGGCTAGGAAGGAAAAACATAGACTTTCTAACCACACAGTAATGTTGTCGAAAACAGAAACCGGAGCGAAGCAGTGAGGCACCGCTTAGGCTTTTTAGGGCTTAGGCTTTTAGGGCTTAAGCGATTCAAAGCAGAAAAAAATGCCAAGTAAAAAAAAGCTGTCCAGTTCAAATATAGATAAATATTCAAGACCCTCGACGAGATTGAAAGATAAAGAGGAGAAGAGCATGCGGTTAAAGAGAAGAGGAGCAACTCTGAGTTCAAGACTTTGAAGATAGCTGGAGAAGAGAAAAAAATAAGAGAGAGCAAGTGCAGCTTGCCGGTTGGAGAGACGGTGGTGGAGAGAGAGCAGTCAAGCTTGCTGCAGATGGTGAGAGGAGCTGAAGAGAGATAGTGGAAGATGGTGAGACGGTAGGAAAGCTGTTGGGAGGGAGGCGGGAGAAGCTCCTGAAGGCGAAGTTGGAGCGGGAGGTGGCGGTTTTAGCGGTGCGAGGTGGTGGAGAATGATTTGGGCCTTAAGGTTATTTTTGGGTTAGTAACAGAGAAAGAGAAAGAGGGACAATGGAATACGAGTGGTTTTAGATGTTAAAAATAGGTATGGGTCCGGTGCAAAATTGAGACATGGTTATCATCATTCGCATTTTAACTAAGCATTTTAAAGCGCTTTTCACCGCCTTTTCACGCCTTTGTGATCAAAAAAGGGCATTGGCACTTTATATCACTGCTTTGGGGCAAAGTGAAGTGGCCAAAGGCAGCTTCTGCTTTTTTATCGCTTTTTTCAACAATGCCACATAAGCACAGCAGTCTCAACTTGTGACTATATTGCTCAAATCATAGCATATACTACACTTTTTGAAGTTAATTTGGAATTTATTAATTTCTATTAAAATAGCACGCCTAAGAAATTGAACTGGTTCATCCTATCGTATGCAATATACAGATATTTAAATCAAATGTGACATGTACCAATTGGGCATGGTGGCCGAAGTAGGATGGGCCTTGGGGAGTTAGTACCAAAACAAACAATGAGTTAGCTCTTATAACACAACTAAAAGTTTGACAAAACTATGATAAGGCCAAGAAAGAACCCTGAGCTGCTAATTGCCTAGTAGTTAGATGCATCTTTTCTGACCTGCAACTTTCCAACCAAGCGACTAACAATGTCTCAACAATTGAAATTAAAAGTGGCTATTGCACTACACCTTATAATCCTAAGTTTGATGTTGGTTTGTCAATTACATTTAGATTTTATCTTATCATAAACTACTCAAATTTGGTTTAAGCTGATAGTCTGACACTAGGAGAAAGCCACTTCTAACAATGTCTCAACAAATGAAATTGGAAGCTTATTGCTGCAATGCTGCTTAAGAGAAAAGTCTAGCATAAGCCAGATCTAATTCAAAAATTTTGCCTGAATATCATTCTCTAGCATGTACATGTATGTGAGAAAATATATATGCCCTTATGTGCATCAAAAATGAATTTTTTTCTGCCAAAAAAAAAAGTTATTTGCTATATAGATTCAGTCACTAGCTACTAGGTTTTGGCAACTTGGATCGAAGAGAATACACTCCAATGAGAGGAAGTCCCTCCTAACTGGAAAGTCTATAGCACAGCTTAGGATTGTGTGATCTTAAAGAAAACGCACATGATAAAGATAGGAAGGCGATCCGATGAATTGAACCTTTAGAGCGATATGAATTTACTACTTAATTAGCTCTAAATGTCGGTATATTGTTGTAATCTACTCCTACTACTATAATATCAACTTAAGTGAAAGAGCTGTGAAAGAAACTCAAGGACAAGTAAATAACTTAAACTACTCTTATCCAATAGGGGTGACCCTCAAAGCCTGATTGATTGAAAAACCGATAAGAAAGCAATAAATTACATTAAAATAAAAAATTAACTTAAAAGCTATCTGCGAATCTGAATTATAACTCAAGCAACAAAATTATAAGAAACTAAACAACATTGGAAGGTAAAAGACAACAAGATAATAAAAGTAAATACTAAATAGAGTTTTTTTGGTTGATTGTGTGAGCATGTTCTCCTTCGTTGACATTGAACATCTAAGGGGTCTCACACACGATAGTCACTCGCCCCTTATTCCGAAAGTTAACTACACACTCCTACAAACACCATACTTTTCGGGCCACTAAGTAGCCCATATTTGTCTGGAGCAAAATCTTATTAGTTTCCTCAAACTAAGCGCAATACTTGGAGCCGATGTAGCGAGGTATAAACTGGGTCAACCCGGCTAACATGTTTGTGGCCAATAGTTAATTTCTCCCTTATCCTCCTGGTCAAGGCGCTTATTTCCTAGCTGATGTCTATTCACAAAATTTGGGTAAAAACACAAGTTACTTATTTTTTATTATTAATATAAAGTGTATTCCTTTGGGCTTTTACCTCTTCACATGTGAAGGAACACAACATTTTAATATATATACATGCATAAATTTACCTTGATCGGAGTTCTTGGAGGTAGGAGGCAAAGTTAGTAACGAGGGCGAGCAAAGCATATAAAAATGTGAGGGGAAAAAAGATCAGGGATACCATGTAGTTTGAACTAGATGTGACTCAATTCCAGAGCTCAATTCCTCGCTTTAGCGAGCCTACTATGCCCATTCTTTGAATTGTAAGTGGTTAGGCCAATAAATGTGTCATCATCAACGCACGATATTTTAAATAAGCAGAAGCACCTTTAAAAAAGCCAAAATTTCTCCCATTTTTTAGGGTTATAATTCTACAAAGTCCCTCTCAATCATAAGGATTGCCTCAGAAAACCTCTTTCAAATATTTTAATTTGAAAAAAAAACCATCACTTTGGAGCATTGTAAATAATATCCTTCAACTTTGAAAATTTTACAAACC